CGCAGTACCGGTTCGTTTTTATAGAATAAACCACCCACTTTACACCCACACCAACAATAGTAGTAGCTTCAATAATCCAACCCTCCAACACAATAGTTTTCTTCAATAAAAGCATGAATTGTTTCCATAACTTCAATCAGGTGACAGTATTATGCACGTTTGGTCGCGTAGCCCCTCCGATTTCCCAGTAGTAAACCGACCTTGAGACCCAGCTCGAGAGGTCTCTTGCTATTGAGAACCGGGACCGGGAACAGACAGTAGAGTTACAAACTTTAAGTTTGGATCTTACTAGTCCTATTGAGAATCAGGTTGCTCGGGATTATCTGAATATTTTCTCACGGGAAAATATTTTCGATGATTCCTGGGGGACTGATTTGGACGAAGTAACTAAAAAGTTTCATAATATAAAAGCTCCAGGTGACGATGGAATTTTCTATATATCCTATATATCCTATATATATATCGATATATCCTAATCAAAAAACTCCTAGAGAGTACCTTGTCTTCCTTGGTAAAATTAATTAACAGATGTTTCCATCAGGCCTACCCAAGTAACAATTTCCAGTTGAAGAAACGCTTTCGTTTTGATTTTGTTCAGCTGCATGTTGAATAATAATTGCACAATGTGTTCACTACAACTTTTATAAAACCCTTGTTTACACTGGTTTGGAGAATCTATACAACTGCAACACAAAGGTGTTGTCTAACGTATTCAGTAAAACGTTTATCCAAAATCAATTTCTTGTTGAAGAAACGCTTCCATTGTGATTTTATTCAACTGCATGCTGAATAATAACTGTACAATTTGTTTATTACAACTTCTGTAAAACTCTTGTTAACACTGGTTTGGAGAACCTGTTCAACTACAGCATTATATGTATACGCGGTATAGGAGTAGAAGCAACTTTTATACAACGTTTATAGATACATATTTAAACTCAAGCTTTATTATTTTGGTGAAAGCTCTTATACAACGTTTGTAGACACTTCTTGACAGCTGCTTTGAAATTTAGTAGAGAGTAAACCTGAGAGACGTTTGTTGCACTCTTTTATGACTCCTAAATAATCATTGTACAGCAAGCGGTGAAAAGCGTTTATAGCACTTTTCAATGACTCCTTAACAACCGGATAGAAGCAACTTTTATACAACGTTTATAGATACATATTTAAACTCAAGCTTTATTGTTTTGGTGAAAGCTCTAATACAACGTTTGTAGACACCTCCTAACAGCTGCTTCTAAATGTTTTAGAGATTGAACCTGAGAGGCGTTTGTTACACTCTTTTATGACTCCTAAATAACCGTTGTGTAAGTACTCACAATATTCACAGATTAAAATTAGTTTAACAATTGTCGTGGTACGCCAAAATAATTGCTTGTACAGTTTTTATTAATTTAATTTATTTGTGCACATTGAAAAAATATGTAATTATGCCATAATTCACATTCTGTGATCATGGAGGAAGTAGTAACAAGCATCTGTTTAATCTTTGATTGATATTCTTTCAATTAATCTCTCTAATCATTAATTGAGAGAATTTATCTAGAAATGTTATCGTTGATTATATGATATATGTCTTAAATTAATGTTTGCATTTATTAATAACACCTATATATAATTTACCTCTACTCCACCGAGGGTTTCTCGAAGCAAGATTCGAACTCATGATCCCGGATTGCCAGCCGCTTCTGTTTCCATCTGCTCTATTCTTGAATACATATTTTGATCATATGAGAGAAGTATATCAAGCTCATCTTGAGTGACTTCTCTTGCAGTCGAATAATCATTGCCTTATGGTTATATAAACATGCCTATCACTTGTGCTATTTTTAGCAACAAAATTGTGGTTGGTCGAACGTAAACAATCATTTAAGAGTGCTCCAAGCAGCTTTTGAAGCTTCTAACCAAAAAGGCAATACAACTACATTCTTGTTCAACTCTGGAAGCTATTATTCAACTTTTGATCAACTCAGGTGTTTTGTAAGAGCTCCCAATGGTTTGTTTTGATGCGTTTATTCCACATCCTATATGGCTCCTGTCAAACAGTTTAACCGAACGTAAACAATCATTTAAGAGTGCTCCAAGCAGTTTTTGAAGCTTTTAACCAAATGGCAATACAACTACATTCTTGTACAACTGTGGAAGCTATTATTCAACGTTTGATCAACTCAGGTGTTGTATAAGAGCTCCCAATGTTTTGTTTTGATGCGTTTATTCCACATCCTATATGGCTCCTGTCAATCAGTTTAACAAAGGTGCTATAAAAGTTATCGTAGGTCTTATAAAGCATATAGTTAAACCGAACGTAAACAATCATTTAAGAGTGCTCCAACAGCTTTTAAAACTTTTAATCAAATGGTAATACAACTACATTCTTGTTCAACTCTGGAAGCTATTATTCAACGTTTGATCAACTCAGGTGTTTTATAAGAGCTCTCAATTGTTTGTTGGGTACTTTCCTGATAAATGGTTGTTCCAATTTAGAAGCCGGATACAATAAGTGTGCTTTCTTGAATAAGTAAACTTTTGAAAAGATAAATTTGAATAGAATGATGCTTCACATCAATATGAACTCAATTTTTGCAGATGAGCAGTTTGGATTTCGCCATGGGCATTCAACTACTCATCGACTCTTAAGAGCTACCAATTTAATTCGTTCAAACAAATCTGAAGGCTGCTCAACTGAAGTTGCTCTTCTAGACATAGAAAAAGCATTCGACAGTGTTTGGCATGAAGGTTTCATTGCTAAATTGAAAAAGTTTGATTTTCCACCATATATTATGAAATTAGTTCAAAATTATTTAACTGACAGAGCTCTGCAGGTAAATTATCAAAATTCCAAATCTCGACGACTACCTTTTAGAGCAGGAGTTCCTCAGGGTAGCATTCTTGGTTCTATATTGTATAACATTTTCACTTCTGACCTCCCTGATTTGCCTCAGAGCTACCACAAATCTTTGTTCGCTGATGACACAGGCATTTTCGCTAAAGGAAGAAGTCTTCGTGTTATTTGCAGCAGACTGCAGAAAAGTTTAGATATTTTCTCTCTATTTTCTCACAAATGGAAGATTCTAAAACTCAACTTATAATATTTCCACATAAACCTAGAGCTTTTTTTTTTGAAACCTAGTAGTTGTCATACGGAGTTCCAATTTCCAGGTCAAACGAAGTGAAATATCTTGGAATAGTACTTGACCAAAAATTATCTTTTAAAGATCACAAAGGACATTCAAGCCAAATGTAACAAATATATAAAATGTTTGTATCCTCTTATGAACAGGAAATCCAAACTTTGCCTGACGAATAAACTTCTAATATTTAAACAAGTTTTTAGACCGGCCATGCTTTATGCTGTGCCACTATGGTCTAGTTGTTGCACTACCAGAAAAAAAGCACTTCCAAGAATTCAGAAAAAAAGTTCTGAACATGATTTTGATGATGATGATGATGATGATAATGATGATGATGAGATGAATTACGTATGTTGATTTGAATGAATTAATTTCCTTTATACTTAGATAAGATTAAGGTGTAGTATTTAGTTTTAAGAAGTCAATTGTTATACTGACATGCACTGCAGGTATAGAAAACCTGTTTAAAATACTGGATTGCCAAGGCAGGAACAATGTAAAAACACTCAGATATATATCATAATAATTAAAGCTGGTAATTTACTGTATTAACTGGAGCACCTAGGTTAAAATGAAATGTCATTTATTTTGAATTGGGAACAAATAAAGTGTTAAAAAAGAAAAAGAAAACCTTGTCTGAAAGGTAGATGTGCTTTCGCTGTGCACTTAACTATAGTCTCGAGCCTCTTTGTGCACGCGAGCTACATACATCCAATAACACGCACTCAAGAGCGCCCCTTCATATGCAACCTGTTGGACATTGATTTTTTATAATTTAGTTGTTGCTGGTTCATATAGGGTGTCCTAGAAAGTAACAACACAGTTTGATTTAGAAGTAAAATTACTTATTTTGAATGCCTACATAGTTATAAAATGTCAAGACAAAGTACATCAAGATACGCTTATAACATGTAATATCTGATCAGTCTGACTAGTGCTTTAAGGAACTTATTTCTTTTTGCATGTTCATGTTCATCACCGTATACTCCTGCAAATGGATGAATTAATTCCACGATTCCGTTAATGTTACGCCAATGACCAGTCTTTTGATCCAACGCTGTCTATAAGCTTTTGCACAGGGTCTTTTTCAACTGCTTTGTCGATATGTATTCGTGTAGTCCATTTTAGTTTTTTTTTTTATTTATTTAATTCGCTTATATTAAGCGTTATGTAGATAATCATAGGCCAGGGCTAAACATTCTATCATATAACTTCCAAGCCATGCGGCCTGTTTTTTGACTCCTTTTCGGTTTCTTCTATTTCTTGAACGTCATCTTGCCTTGGCACGATGACCGTTACTCGTCGATGTTCCCAGTTTTTAGCCATAGGTACTCTTCTATGGCTTTCGGTTCACAGTTCCTTTTCTCGGCCAAATTTCGGTGTGTGGAAAGTGCGTTGTTACTATCTGAGACACTCTATAGAGTTACCTCTATGCTATAACCCTTGCCTGATTACAATCACTCCACACCTACTAAACAAGCCAAGCCATAGCTCGTACCGTTACAGGACATGGTTGTTCAATGGCAATGAATGCTTTCGAACCGATTTTATCGCAAAGTGGTATGTATTACCACGTTGTGTACAGTGCCATTTACTAGGCAAACATATTTTTTTATTCATTTACACGTCAGCCCCCCCAGTTTCAAATGAATCCTATCAACGAGTGATGAATGGAGAAAGGACGACTTAATTCTCTGCGATGCTATCAGTGTTACGCGTTCTCTACGGAATGTTGGCATCATTAGAAACACATTATGGGTAGGGTATTTAAACTAAACTAGAAATAACCCACCATTTCAATGTTAGTTCCTTTGTGACGGTTGGCGAGTCAAGTTCAACTTTGCGGTTACAAATTAGAATCAATTAGTGATGGTGACCCGTGGCTGGTTCCGGGATTTACTCAATCCCAAAAACTTCTACGCCGCTCAAGCACCGATTTTGAGGTCGACATTCTTCGGAGGATTGACTCCGTTTACCGTTGCAAACCGACGGCGGCACGATTCAGCACTCGAGTGTACTACATTTGGCTACGTCAATTCCTTCATCCATGCCGTTACGTTCTGCACGTGCTACGTGATATCTCTGTCCAAGCAAGAAAGCGTCACAGCGCATTTTTTTAACTCCGAAATAAGCTCGCTGGGAGACACCCTACAAGTGGCGGTCGGCATTGTAGCACTCATAATGACATTCGCCTACAGCATCTTCCGGAGACAAAAGCTCATCAATGCATTTCAATCTTTGGCCAGGACCGATCAACATTTCATGGAAATTGGCGTTGAGACAAACTACAAAAGTACTCTTTTCTACAACTATGGATTAATAATCATTCAAATATTCGTCCAATTAACCTACATTATAATATCCGTTTCAATCGTGACCAGTTCTGGAGTGTTAATTTGTGCAGCAACATGGGTATCCTTTTTCCTGCCATTTAACATGATGTCGATGGTCGTTTCTCTCTTCGTTTGCCTGGTCAATCAGAGCAAGCATCGTTTCTATCTTTTGAACAGAATCCTTACATCCCTTCAGGATACTAGTGTGGCAAAGCGGCGCCTATCCTACGATGAGAAAATGGAAACGGTTAAGGTAGTTAAGATTCAAAAACCGCTAGGAATATCGTCAGCTTTCTCCAACACTAATCGCTATATGCCGGATGTGATCAATCGGGTGGCCAGTATTCAGAGCGAGATCTGCGATGCGTGCGATTGTGTGGAAGATTATTTCAAAGTGCAAATGTTAACCATCGTAACGATTTCGTTCCTGATCAGTGTCTTCAACGTGTACTACATTTTGGAAACGATTTTCGCTGATGGCTCCACCGATACACCCTTCAGCAAGCTGCAATTTGTTGCATTTTTCTTCTGTCAAGGATTCATACACATCGTAGGAGTGGTGATGATAGTTTGTGTGAATAATTTAGCAATGCAAGAGGTAGGGACTTGATAATTGATTCCTTTCAAATTGTGTAGTTAAGGTATTAACTAATGAGCACGTTAAAATGCTACGTAAAGTGGAAGGCGGTGAGAAATTGATCGGGTTCTGTTACATATTGATTAGCTAAACTAAAGGGGAGCGGGTCTTCAGTGATATTGATACGCGTACCATTGTTAAAAGCAATACAAAAGATTTTTTTAGACAAATTTAAAAATTTTGTTTTGCTAGGTTTTGGGTCAACGGGCCTCAAAAGCTTATGAAATTTTGCCCACGGGTAAAGTTTACGATCCTAAGAACGAAACAAAAAATCGAAAAATACTTTTAATTTTCCTGGAAACTGTAGTTGAAGTTTCAGATATTGAAGCCCCAAACACACTAACACAAATACACTAAACATGTTTAGTGTAATGCAGGTCAATATTAGTAGCGTCAAATAAGATTCGAGATTTTCTAAATGCATATCAGTTGGCACGATAATATTTCACGTAAATCGGACGTGAAGAATTTTTAGAGTGTAGGGGTTTTGATCTAATTTCCATCCTACTAAGCGCAACCCACACTTTACCTCTTTTTCTTGAACGGGTTTCAACAATAAATTAAATATTTCTATCACAGATGACTTCTAAATTTATTCCCCTTTCCATAAGTACCATTGGATTTGATAAAGAGCCACACATTGTTGAAATATTGTTAAAAGTCTAACACTGCTTCTTGATTCCAAATTCGTCCTACGAGTTTCAATTCCGTCCAAACGCATTGAAACGCCATTGGATTTTCTTCGTCCTACGGATGAAAGTAGAAAAAGCGAGTTTGCTAGGAGCGCTTCTTTTGTTTTGAGAACAATGAGCGCTCTAATCAAGGTTGCAAATACTCATTTCAGATAAAACAATGTTTTTTTAAATTATGAAATAATTAGATGTCATGATCATATTTTGAATTGGTAGGATACAAGAGGAGGTTGCAAATAATGTGTTTGACATATTAAACCTGCTTATTTCACTTCATGAGAGTCACAATCAGCGATTTTTCACAAACTCACTAACTCACTCACTCACTCACTCAGCGATCAGAAAATCGCTGATTGTGACTCATAGAAAGCAAAATTTACAGGTTTTATATTTCAAACGCATACTTTGTAGCCTCTTCTTGTAAGTTACAAGTAAAACATACCATCATACCATCTTTTGGTTTTATTATTCCGAAAAACATTATTTTAGCAGAAATGAGTATTTGCAACCTTGGCTCTAATAGGCTTTGTGTTGTAGCTTGTGAACTAACGCATCGGTATAAACGTATTACTGATTTGTGCACGGTGAAATCATTGATTATACTGATGTTTTCTGCTCGATAGAACGGAAATGGACGATTACGACGAGGTAGTCTATCCATAATGACATAACAGTCCCATATGGATAGGAAATCAAGCAAACATGGGACCGATATGCGGTTATGGGCAGTAGTGCTCTACCCTAGTAAAGTGCCCAATCCGATGCAAACAGGAAACTCCATGATTCGAATCCGCTGACTTGGCTTGCTCCGGAAACCGCTGCAGGTGATATAGGTCACCCTTACGTTGACCCACTAACAGCACATTTTCGCCTTTCAGGACTCTGCACCCAGTCTTATCGAATGAAACTTGAAACCCCAAATCAGTAATTTTACTCACCGAAAGTAGGTTTGTTGCGAGCGATGGCACATGGTACACGTTGTCCAGCGAAACGTTCATCCAAACACCATGTCCGTTCACGGACACAAGCTTGCTACTTCCTGCCACGGGAGTCGTTATCGTTATCGCTATTAGAGCACCCGCACCAATGCGTTGCTATAGCTATTTTAGCAACCTCCACCATAACGCAGAGTAACCACACCGGGGGTTGCTATTGAAGTGCGGGAAATAACAATCTGCCTCTCAAGAGCACCCGCACCAATGCGTTGCTGATCGGGCTGCTAGTTTGGCAACTTTAGCCATTGCTATTTTAGTTAGCAACTTGTTTACGCACCGGTCGTTGCTATCACGATTTTGAATTTACGTTTTCGGCTTTCGCACCGATAGTTGCTAAACTTATCGTCGAACTTCGAACTGAAACTGATCAAAGAGTTTCGTGATTGTTTGTTTTTTCGGCAATATTGATATACCTAACCACGAAGACTGAAGATTGAAGGTTAAGATCCAACTACAAACCCAGATACTCAAGAAACGGTCTTCAGGAAGATCCGAATAGCCCAGCGATTTTTTTAAATCACTTGTTGTGATGCTACATGAATGAATTTGAATCTGGGACCAACATGCGCCACTGGTGGTCACGAAACTGTCCTTTGGGAGATCCGGAACATCCATAAAAGTGGCCAATTCGTAAAAAATAATCGAAATATCGATCTTCGTAAGCTCCTTTTATAAAAGTTGCACACCAAAAGGCATAAAGGCATTTTTGGATGCCCATCTGGATTACTAAATTACATATTTTAGCTTGTGAATTTATCAAAAAAATTTGAAACTTTTAAGAAGTTCGAATTGATAGAATTGTGGGGAAGTTGAAAGATCTTTAAACAATGCAATCTAATAGATATCAGGCAAATTTACTTCAGTGAAGATCAAGAGCTTCAGGGCAGTTCTATTAAATTCAGGAAAATTTAACCTTAAAGACCTAAGTAAGTTACGTGAACTTCGGGTAAGTTCTGAAAATGTTATGGCAGTTCCATGAATATCAGGAAAACTATAAGAACTTGAGGGACGTTCCTTAAACTTTAAGTTCGTTTCGAGAACTTTATGGCAGCTCCATTTATTTCAGTAAAATAAAGGAAACCATCAAGACGTTCCGAAAATTTAAGGATAGTATAAAAAACTTCAGGGAATGAACTTAAAAACTTTAAGAAAGCTACACAGAAGATCCATTTTTAAAGGGAAGTTTAAAAATCTTGTAGGCAGTTCCATTAATTTCTGAACAATTCCTGTAACATCATCAGGAGAATATAAGGACAGATTTGTTAACTTCAGGAAACAATACAGATCTTCAGAAGAGTCTGAGGAATGAAAAGAAGTACTGAGAGTTTCAGGAAGTTTTATAGGCAAACTGTGGGAACAAAAGGTAAGTTCCGAAAACTTCTAGAAATTTTGGTGAACTTCAGGCAAACTTCAGGATTTTCAAAGTGGTTCCAAAAAATTCAGGAAACTACAGGAACTTTTAAGACAATTTTAGAAATTCAGGGATATCGAGAGAACTTTAAAGAAGTCAAAATAATTTCAGAGATGTGAAGATAACTTGAGGAAAATTCACATTTTAAAGAACTTCCAAGTACCTCAAAGAAGTTAGACTAGAGAGCTTTAGGGAATTTTAGATATATTAACGGCTATTTCAATAGTTTCATAACTTCGTGAAATTCTAGAAATTCCAGACTTTCAGGTAAGGTCCGATAAACACCGGTCAATTCCATAAACTTCAGAAAAACTTCGCAAAAATTTTTGACACTTTTATTTAGTTCAGGGTAATACCAAGAACTTCAATAGAATTGAGAGTACTTCAGGAATGCTTCGAGAGCTGAAGGACTGATCAGAGAAACTAAGAACAGTTCAACTAATTTCAAGGAAATTGAAGGTCCAAGAAACCCAGGAAATTTCCGAAACTTCATCAAAGTACCAAGACCTTTATTTAAATTTCAGAAATATAAGAGATGTTACATGAGCATCAGGAAAATGTGAAATCATTTAAGGGAGTACCATGGTTTTCAATGCAGTTTATAGAGCTGAAAAAAAAATTAAAGAACTTCACCAACGATCAGATTATGTTCAAAAAAATCGCGAGATCTTTTAAAATGTTCAGAAATCTTCAAGAACGTCTAGAGACCTTCAGAGAAGTATATAGATTTTTGTGGAAGTTCTCGGAACTTCGTAGATGATTAGAGATCTTTATATCAGTTTCATTTATTTAAGTAAAATTGCAGGATATTTCAAGGAATTCAAAGGAATTATGGGATATTTCAAGAATTTCATGAATTTTGCGATGCTTCACAAACAATGCGAGGTCTTCAGGAAATTTTATAAATATGATTGAAATTTCCGGAACAATAGAAAAATTAATGAACTTCAGGAGAGATTCAAAATCTCACGGAAGTCCAAATAAAACTACACGGATAGAAATCTCCTTATACCTTTTGGCAAATTTCTATTGCTGATTATTCATAAAATGTATAAGTCAACTAATAAGCAGACGCCTTGCAAAAAGTTAATGAAGATCATGTGTCGAATGAAATGTATACGCGGTCACACATACCTTTTATTAATTCTTATAGGACCCATGTGGTTTGTCTTATGGAATGTATAAGGCTGATGTTTTGGCAAAAATGTATAAGAGCAACCGTACCAATGAGTAAATAAGGCACATTTACCAACCTTTACCATAACGCTACTTGCGTACTGGGGGTTGCTATTCAGGTGGGGGAAATAGCAATCCGGACCTTGGGAAGTAGTGAGTTCAAAAATTTAGCAACCCGGTAGCAATATAGCGACTATAGGTAGCAACGCATCAGACGGTTGCTATTTTGAATAAACGCCAAAAGTTTGTTTTGCCGGTGTGGAAAACGGTAACTTAAATTATGACTGTGATAGCAACGCGCGGTTCACTGAGAGCAACCGTACCAGTCGTTGCCATTTGCGGCACTATTTTACTTACGCACAGCGTTTCCATTTTGGTTTAATCACTCCTCTCCACACCGCGCAGTGGGTTGACAAATACAGCAGCGCGATAGCTACCGATCCAAGCGTTGCTATCTACACGGTTAGAAAATAGTACCCAAAAATAAGTTCTTTTCACTCATCTCGGCACAATAGTGCAGGAACCCAAAAGTAGGTAAAGCGGGTGAAAGTAATTTTCATTTACTTGTGTGCAATTCGTATGGAATTTTCCACTAGCTTTCAATCCAAAAGTAAGTTAGTTGTACCCAACAGTAGGTAAATATGATTATACTCAACGTTGGGTTCCCACACTTTACTACCCCTGTTG